GCCATTCAATCCTTCCGAGAACCTTTAGCCAATTCTAGAGTAGACGCCTATGTCGACAACCAGTGTCTGGTTGAAGCGTGGAAGTCCCAAGCTGCCAGGGCTAGTCCTCTTTCGGACGCACTTTACTCAACAGTGTATGATTTGAATATCCGTCTGGTGGTGTCATATATCCCTTCGGGAGAAAACCCAGCTGATAAGCCGTCGAGAAAGCTATCCCCGGCTGACTGCAAACTGTCCGAAGAGCTATGGTCAAAGCTACAGGAGCACCCAAGTTTTGGCGGCCTATCGGGACACTCCATTGATCTGATGGCACTAGATTCAAACGCCCAAGCAGATAAAGACGGGAAACCTCTTCCCCATTTTACGCTATACCCAACGCCCGATTCTTCTGGAGTAGACGTGTTTGCGCAAGACCTAAGCAACGGAGGCGGTGGCCAAAGGCTGCTGAACCCTTACGTGTTCCCGCCGATTAATCTTATAGGCCCAATACTGAACCTCCTTCAGGAGAGTAAGTTACCTTGCACAGTCGTGATTCCAGATATCCGTCCCAGAAGATATTGGTGGCCAATTCTTAGCAGAATGTCAAAGACCTCGCTACGGATAGCCGTGAAAGGGCAGACCTCGGCGATCTATCCCCCCTCCAAGAATGGTTACCGCGGTGACTGAACTTCCATGGGACCTATGGGCTTTCAGAGTGTAACGGAGTTTAACTTAAGACTATCTTGTACCAATGACGACACTTTTCCAGTAGAGCTAATAAAACCTGTAAATCCGTGTGCTGTTTTTTTTGCATTGTTCCTTTATTTATTTATACATTTATTTTCTTCCATAGCCCATCCCTCCACTTCCAAAATTGTTCATCCCATCAGCGGTTTGTCCAGATTTATCTATCAGAGATTCGCCATCTTTAAGCATTTTTATGTGATAAGGTCAATAATTCGCTTAGTTTTCATAGCGCGCGCTCACCCACAGTTTTGTTTTCAGTTAGTTTTCTTAGCGCGAGCTTTCTCGCGAATTATTTTATCACGTTTTTGAGAAGTCAACAGTCTTTGAAGCAGTTTTCTGAAGCCAAAGTCCACAAGTTAAAGCTCAAGTTTTATCTTAGTTAACATTCGGTTTTATTGGGAATTGGTACGTATAAAGTTACCTTATATAATAAGTAGTTACGTTCATTGTTGTTGTTGTATTTTTCGCAAGAAAAATGTGTTTTTACTCGTGTAAGCAAGCTGAAGATTCCTTGGTTAGCTTTAGGTAACCGTTATCATTTCAGTTGGATACAAGTTGTAGTTTACTCCTATAGTAAATGGTTTAGGATTTGTTTAAGTTAGGTAGTGAGATTTAGCGGCAACGCTAAATGTAGCGTACTAGTTCAGTTAGATTACTTAGCGACCTGAAGTCTAGTATTCATAGGACAACTTAGTGGAGAAATCCTAGAAAGACTTGTTATCAATAGAGCAAAGATTAATGCTATGATTACTTGTTATAGTTTTCGCCGTTTGTTGGCCACTTGTTTGGACGTATAAGTTAAATATTAAAGAATACACAAATACTTGGTTGAGAACTTGGTCACATTTTTGGCGTCGCGAGCAGGATAATTCAAGTAGAAGTCGTTGACCTGTAAGTAAACGAGTTTAATTTAACTTAAATCATCGAGAAAACGGCGAAAATCAATTCAAGTGAAGCTGAAAGAATGGCCGAGGTACAAGAGTTGAAAAGTATGGTCCAAAAACTACAAGCCGAGCTGTCGAACGGAAGTCAAAAACAGTACGTTGTATATAAACAAGAGAGGAAGTTAAAGAAGTTTAACGGCAAGCAAACAGATGACAATCATT